CAAGATTTCCAGCTACAAAGGAAATTTCAAATTACACAGATGAAATTGCAAGAACCATAATTTCTTACCACCTTTGTCCCAGAGCAACATGTTCTCTACAAATGAAGCTTTAAGTAAACTGAAGATTTCCAAATATTTCAGATTGCGATTCTTGAAAGATTTCCAACAGCCATTGAGCTGGATAGTGATCTGGTCAAGGAAATGCAAACCATGAGGTAAGGATAGAAATACATCCGTTCCTTAACTTTCTTTATTTCAATTATATTTTATTAGCATTTATTTTATTAGTCTTAATATACTTGCACTCCGTAGCAGCACGAGCTAATTACTGTGTCTTCTTCATCCATTTTCTGTAGACTTCACTTAGCGAGTGTGGAAGCGGAGAAGAATGAACTCCATTCTGATTTAAAACGAATGAGAGAATTGAGTCAGGCTGAACAGCTGCCAGCAGACATGGTAAGATGTTTTACTAACGTAGACTTTTCTTCGTTGACTATTCGCTCACAGACAAGCCCGACACTATAGGGCACTATAGTGTTAAGCCTGGTTCACATTATCAAAGTTTCTGTGATCACAGTAGGAATTTTGCATACTAACTTAATGTCCCTCAAACATTTCTTACAAATCCTTCAAAATCCTTTACCTATGCAAAATTCCTACTGTGATCACAGAAACTTTGATAGTGTAGACCAGCCTTACTACAGGATGAATTTGGAGTACCTGGACACAGATTAAGAACAGATGTGTAACTCCAGTAAAAAGTTGTGCCACGATCGCCATCTTCCTAGCAAGTGTCGCTCGCGTGATAATTCGTCATTTGGTAATACGTCATTGCTTTCAAAAATGCTTTCAACACCTTTTCAACAACTTTAATTGCTTTCAACAACTTTAAGCATTCAACATTGATTGTTTAATCCAAAATTTCGATCCAAAAAGGTCGCAATAAACTGTGAGGGTTCGTGTTTTTCAGGACGCCATTTTGCTAGCGAGTGTCATGACGTGAGCATGACGTATACATCGAGGGAAAACTATTTGGGGTTACATTTTCTTATCACGAAATATAAGTGGTTAGGAAGTTAGGGATTAAAAATCAAGCAGAGGAAACGGAAAGAAAAAAAATCGTGCACCAAAAAACTTTTCAATAATGAAAATTATAAGTTGAAATAAAAAAAAATTCGTGCAAGGGATTATATTTAAAAAAATTATCGACACAAGCAAAATTTTTAAAAAAAATATTCGTACAAGTTGAAAAAGGCCCCCCCCCCCATCACTTTTCTAATGGTCCCCCCCCCTTAGATTTTGTGATTGCGTGACATGAAAAGATACACGTGAGACACGAAGCTCTGCAGAAAACCTGCGGTGTTTGGTCAAATTACATGCAATCCAATTTACTTCTCGACCTCTAGGATCAAGAAGATATCATGCATAAACTATCTCATTACGACAACACATTGAGGATAAACACTGAACTTGAAACCAAATTGAAGACTGTTGAACTCGAGAGAAACAGACTGAATTCAGAGATTATCAAGGTAGGATTTGACACAGACTTTGCAGCGCTTTGTCTATTCTGGTCGATTCTATCAATTCTAAAATGTTCTTCCAAGAAACCAGTAAGAACGAGGATTGCGCCCGCGTAATTACCCCAGTGTTACAACAGGAGGAAACCGGTGGAGAAAACTCCAGTGACTGGTGCAGTCTAAGGCCCCGTTTACACGAGACTGGAACGAAGTCAAACCTCCCGGTTTGACTTCGTTCCAGTCATAGTATTATTTCGTTTCGGTCATAGTATTATTTATAATAGATGTTTACATGAGACCGGGGCGAAAATAACTCAGACCGTTCTCAAGTCATTCCGCTTGCTGGACCGAGCCGACTGACTTCAGAACTGGCATGAATTCAGACTGGGATGAATGTAAACAAAAATGCATTTCAGAGACCGATCTCGGCTGTAACCTTGACATTGGCACAACACATGCTAACAAAAGGCATCGTACCGGTCTCATGTAAACATGTTGTTTCAATTTTCATTTCGGTTTGACTTCGTCCCAGTCTCATGTAAACGGGGCCTAAAGACACTTTTCTCAAATGGGACACAACTATAATCAGACAACTGCATATTGCAAGAATCAAACTTCACTCGCACAGAGGTGACACATTCACTAACCACTGTCGACCAAAGCAGCACCTTCTAAACTCTACAAACTTTTTTCAGTTGCGGAAAGAACTGGAAGCCTTTGACCCAGCATTTTTCGAAGAAATTGAAGACCTTAAGTATAATTTTCAGAAATCTGTAGAACGTAATGTCCTGTATGAAAGACAGCTCCGAGAACTGTCTAGACAGTTTGGTGTTCACGTCAATATACCTAGTGAACATGATTGAGGGCGAGGTTTCCTCTTTCCCCACATCACCACCCTCTCCCACCAGTGGAAGAAGCAAACTGGCGAAGATTATTTACTGACCACTGGAACACAATTGGAGAGGCGGACGTTCTCCCTCCACCCCACCCTCACCAGTGGAAGAAGCCGAAATAGTGATTACTGACCATTGGAAGACAGTTCAAGAGGGGGGGAGGGGGTTCTCTCTTTCCCCCACAATACCCC